TAAGAACCAAGAGAGATTATGTAAAGGTGCAAATTTCCAATGATGAATGTCATTATATTGTATACCTAATATGTACCAATAAAATAAAATTTTAAAAAATATTACTATTTATGTTAAAAGATAACTAGGACAAAGTCTAGAATTTTGAATGAAGTCCTTAAGAGACAATGAAATGGTTCTCCCCATGCCCACAAGCTATACATCATACCCAGAAAAGCATAAAATCAAAGACAACAGATAAATATGAGAGCACAGGTAGTAACAAAGATAAAAATGTAAATTTTAAGGAGCCTCAAATTATCCAAAAACAATAAAATGTGGACACTTAAAAATATGCAGCTTGTTTAACTTGGTAGAACACCATCAAATCAAAACACAGGTTAGAAAGACTGTCCAGTAAACCAATCTCACAAGAAAGGCCAGTATGTCACAGACTTGATTTAAATCAAATTTGTCATTAATTAAAATCATACCACAGTGATATATGCACACCCATGTTTATAGCAGCATGGTTTATAATAGCTTAATCTTGGAAACAGCCCAAATGCCCATCAACTGATGAGTGGATAAAGATGTGGATTTTTTATAAAATGGAGTACTACTCTGACTTACAGAAGGATATTTATAGCTAAATGGATGGACCTTGAGACCATACTCTTAAGAGAAATAAATCAGACACATGTTTAAATACCGCATTGTTTCTCTGGTGTGAGAAACTGACTGTGGAAATAAGGACTGAGATGTATTACGGATGTTGGGAAATGGGAAGAAAGTGTTCAAAAGGGAAGGAGAACAAGGGAGGGGGGAGGGAGAAAGGAGAAAGGGACAAGATAAAAGTGAAAATAGAAGGAAAAATGGAAACAAAGCTTTTGTACAGAGGGAGGGGAGGAGTTTGGGGGAATGAGATAAAATAAAATTTATTAATTAAAAAACTTTTATAATGCTCAGAAAAGGCTTTTGTGGTGCTTCATAAAATGAAATCCCTTGAAATGCTTTATAAAGTGAATCCAGCTCATAAAAAAAAAAAAATTAAGTCATTAGTCAGATTCTATTTTCATGGATGTAGAAATTCTACCTGTCAGGCCAGAGATTTAGCTCAATGGCATAGCACCTGCCTTATAAGTGCAAGGTCCTGAGTTCGATCCCTGGTACAAAAAAAAGAAAAATTAAATTCTACCTCTCCTTTCACCCCACTATAAATGTAAGATTAATGAAAAAAGGAAATTTTTCTGTCACTTCCCTGGTGTCTAAAACAGAGTACCCAAGCAGGCACGATGGTGCACACCTATAATCCCAGCTCTTGGGAGGCTGAGGTAGGAAGATCACAGTGAGTTCAAAGTCAGCCTGGCTACAAAGTCAGCCTGTCCACCTTGAACTACATTACATAAAACTCTCAAAAAAAGTAAAGTGAGTACCCAGCACACAGCAAGTCTTTAACAACTATTTATTAAACAATTAAAAGAATTAAAATCCTCCAACTGTGCACTTTCATGGAGAGAGGTGTTCAGAAGTACACATCAATAATCTGGATTTTTATCGTTCATCTCAACATAGAGCTTTCCATAACTATTTACTCTTTAAAATAAAGCCAGTTTCAGAACCAAAAGCTTTTTAAAAAAATGAACAGTGAGATAACTTAGGTTGTCCCACTAGACAAACTGGTTTTCTCTACATAACCCCTATTTCCTAATAACATCCCTGAACTTCCCCAAGGTGATAAAACACTCCTTTGGCAAATAAAGATCTACCGACTATATCTGTTCTGACAAATTGTCTAACAAACTTAGGTCATCTTTTCAATAAGTACCTAACAAGCATTCAAGAATAAAATCAGTGGGCTGGGGATTTAGCTCAGTGGTTTGGGCACCTGCTTTGCAAGCACAAGGTCCTGAGTTCGATCCCCAGTACCAAAAAAAAAAAAAAGAATACAATCAGTGGTACCTGTTATGATTCCAAACAGATTAAAATACCAGTCTGGTAACCAACCAACACACTAAATGTTATTGTGACTTAATGTATAATTAATATATATAAATATGGTGTGTCTATGTGTATAGAGTCCAAAAAGTGTACACACTTCAGGAAAAGAAAAATAATACAATGGTTTTTTCCAACAGATGGTTTTCCCCTCATATGAGGAACCCTAGAGGATTTTGTACATTGCAGAAAACCCACTAAATGGCTGGCCCTTAGAGAAGAAATTAAAAATGCAAATGCAGCAATCTTAATGACCAAGGTTACTCCAGCAGCAGTTCGCCATACTAATAAATGTCTGGTAGCTAATGGCCACCACTTTGAGCACCTCTTGCAATTGTAGAGAACAAAGGTTACTTGTATTAATCTCAAGATGTCTCAATAAATTTAATATTAAAATATTTATGCAAGTTTTTCTTTACACGACGTACACATTTTTTGGTGGACTCTGTACGTTACGGCTTGTGTTTAGATATCCAAGCCTCATGTGGTCATAGGTGGGGCTTTTTCAGAAGTGGCTGGATCTAGAGTGTGTGATGCTAGAATTGATTCATGGTGCAATGCTGGGCTCAAAGGCACTAGAATTAAAGGTGTGAGTGCTATGTGCCCTAAGTAGCCTGGATAAGATATAAGGGATAGAAAGAACTGTGGTTATGCATTGTTGCTTTGCTACCTTCTGTCCACCATGAACTGCTTCTCCTCTGCAACCCCATCCTCCCTTAGAGCCAGCTGATTATGTACTGAAACCCTACAAACTTCGCTAAATAAGCGCTTCCTCCTTTAACTTTGGGTGTCGGGTATTTTGTCTCAGCAACAAGAAAACTAACTAAGATAGTGTATACATACCCATACACTACACTTACATAGTCACCACAAATATTCAATACAGTATATAAAACAAGTATACTATGCCTAGTATATATAACGTATACAAAATTTTATGTAGTATTATATATTATTTATAGTATATATATATCACAAACTGAAAAACAAAGGAAGAAAAAGTTCATACAAGTAAGTATTCTACATATTTAATGAAAGGGCCTTAGGTTTAATAAATCTTTATACCTAGACTATCTTGAACTATTAAATTTCAGAACTTAAAAATGTGTGGCAAGTAGGTTGCATGAGGTAGTAAGTAGGTGATTAAGAAGTTTATAACTTTAAAAAACAAAAACTATGAAAATTCAAAAACTCACATTTCAAGAAGATAGTGGTATTTCTGAAGAGGATCTTTCCAAAACTAAAATAATTTTTTCCCTGCAAAGATAAAGGAAGATAATTAACATCAGATTGCTTCAATTCCCAAGACAGAATATAACTAGCTAAATTTATAAAATACTTAAATTGATTTTCTAACTAAAACATGAACAGCTATTTTAGTGAAATTCCACCACATACAAACTGCAAGATTTGCCTAAAATAATCATTTTCGTAACTATTCTGAGTTTTACTTTAAACCTAAAAAGACAACTATTAATCCTTGTGGTAACAAGTAAAAATTTAAAATTAGAACCTGAAGATCTTTAAGCTAATCTTGCCATATAAATTTACAATCAGCGAACAGAAAAATACCAACGTGGTTGTTTTTTAGCATTTCCTGTCTGTAACTGGTTTTTGTTCTTCACAGGAGTATATCTCTTACTCAAATATTTTTAAAAGGGGAGGGGCAGAATAGATGAATCTTTACATTTTAGTTGTTTCTTCCATGTTAGTCATTCCTGTGTTAAAAACACGTTTTCCGTATGCTTCCTAATGGCCACATAGCAAATTTTTGAATAACCATTTCAAAGTATAACCGAAATCAGTCCACCTCGTAAGTAAAATTACCCAGAAACAAACGAAAGTGCAGGGGAAAAAAATAAGCCTATTTACATATCCGCCAACCAACCCGGGGTCACTGGGTTCTGTGAAACTTCAGCTCAAAGCAAACTACTATCTATCTGTACATAGAGTTTAACCCACTCTATCTGTACTCCCAAGTCAGGCACTGAAAGTTCTTTCACTTTCCCGACGAAAAACCGCTCCACCGCTCCTTTCCGCTGCAGGAGGAGCCCCGACATTCCTCCCGGTCTACTCACGCAGTGCGCGACTTTCAGCTTCTGGGAGGTGGTTCTCGGTCTGCCAACACACAGGATCCCGGAACCCACCCATTAGGAAGAGGACTTTTGCAGAACCTTCGTGGACCCCTCGGACCGCCGTAGCCCCACCTCCCGCTCCTCCGGACTCTCTTCCTAAAGTAATGCTTACCGACGGTATAGGGATGTGCCATTTGGATCGGTCGGCAGCAGACACGGATGCGGGTCCTGCAGCAAAAAGCGACAATGGGAACGACTGAGTCCCCAGAAGAATGACAGGAAACAGCTGAAGCCACGCAACCACCGCCATCTTCACAGCTTTGGAGTACCCACGAAAAGCATTTCACCTCCTTCCGGTTCGTCCCGCCCGCTTCCGGCCCTGCGCCGAGGGCGGATCATCCGGGTCCTCAGACAGCGTGGGGCTGGGTTTGTTTTCTTTGCTCAGACAGTCCTCCCCGCTCCGCTTGAGACTTTCAATTTACTGCGCAGGCGTCGTCCTGTCGAGCGGGTCAGCTGGGATAGGATGGTACCCAGAAGCCACTCCGGCCTCCAGTTTCTCTTCTGTCTCCTGTCCCTTAAAAGGTTTGGGGACTAGGCAGCTACTCGGTGCAGCGTTCGCCTCTCCCCTCCGGCTTGCCCTCGCCCCTCACCTCTTCACGTCCGAGTCGGGCGCCCGGGGTCCAAAGTCTGGAGAAGCGGTGACTGGCTACCTGGTGGAATCTAGTAGTGAGTTCTTCGGTTTTGGAGCTACTTAAAGCAAAAGCTGGAGTTTGGCAGTGGTAGAAACGACCTCTAGACTGGATGGTATAGCAGATAATCTTCAAAGACCCCTTCTCACCCTGCAAAGTAGGAAGCTGCTGGAACGCTGGCCTGCGACGTTTCACAAGGCCGGCACTTCCCTCTCAAAACTGAACGGGACACTGTGGCGGCTGATGTTCAGCTCTGGGTTTCTATCTCCAGGGTTCACCACGCCTGCGCCTAATCTGCTCCAGAGGTTCCTAATAAAAGTACGGTCTACGTCACCCACCCATAATCGAGAAAAATTTGCCAACTATAATCCTGTAGAGACGCTAATTTGAATCAGAAAAAAAAAAAAACGAGGCGTAAGAGTCAAGATTTATTGCTCTCTACGGTTGCGGAGGGGACTTCCCCAGAAACTTGACGAAGATGAAGTGCTAAGACCGCTCAGTGGATTTTTAAAAGTACCACTGGAGACCGTGTTCTAAGAGCTGGGAGCCAGTCGGAGTGACAGCGAAGCCATGGAAGCAGCTGGGAAAGAGGAAATCAGGTAAAGACCGAGTGCTGGGACCCCATAATCCGAGGGCAAGACTGAAAGCAACCTTCCGCCTTGAATTTCATTGATTTTCTCCCTTTCCCCCTGGTGTGAGGGTCGAACTCAAGGATGCTCTGTCCCTAAAGCTACATCTCCATACCTATTTATTTATAGAAACGATTTTGCTAAATCTTCTAGGCTGTCCTGTAACTCTGGGGCTTCCTGCCTCAGCCTCCAGAATAGCTGGAATTAGTCGTGTGCCACTTTCCTGGCTCGTTGATTTTGTTTGTTTGTTTTTTGAGACAGGGACTCTATGTGGTTCAGGCTGACCTTGAACTGTGAAATCTAGTCTGGCCTCCCAACTGGTGATGATTCTTTTGTGTCAGCCTCCCAAATGCTGAGATTACAAGTTGTTTGGTTTTTGTGTTGTTATTGACTTTTTTATTGTATTTCTTATTTGAATGTTTGATATTTGCGTGTCTTGGCGTTTTTACTAAATTCTGCAGAGAGTAGCTAATGTTAATAGCTAGCCTCTCATAAACTTGGGATGGTAAGTAACACTAACAGTGGAAACATTGTGATCACAGCTCTATCACGTGACTATCCAGCATGTTGCTTTCCAAATTCAGCTATTTCATTTTCATATTTCAGCTAGCTCATTATTCAAAGCTGGAAAGAGGAGAATGCAAGGTTCTCTAATCTTTGCACACTTGATTAAAAGAAACAGACAAAAACCAAGTGCAGTGAAGCATCTAATTACTTTCATGATAAACAGTCATTTTAGGATGACTAAGTGTATCTGTCTGGGCATGTTTTCCTATGTTGAAATTTGTATTCAGTCAGAGCTTTCTATGAAATCATTAACATGCAGACTACAGATGTATTCAGTCACACCTCTGCATGAAAGCCAGTGTGGCTTTTTATGTGACTATAGTTGTTTCAGTCATGTGGAGTCTAATTTAAATACATATATTCAAGAAGCAATTTACACCTTGTTTGAGTTTTGTTCCAGAAACATTCCTGGAAAGTTGGCTTTTGTTGGCGTTGTTCGAGCCGCAAAGAGTCAGACCATGAGAATGCAGTTAAGTGAACGAAGAGGGCTGCAGCTCACAAGGTGAAACAGCAGCTTGCCTCTGTTGCCCAAGTCTTTTATTGAAGCGGTGCACAATGCAAGCATGAGAGATTACAACCAAGGCCTTGAAGCTGTTTTTTAGGAATAATATCTTGAAAGCTTTCGTATCTAATCTTGAGCTTTCCCAGAGCAGAATACTCACACCCTCGGGCGTCAAGGTTCCTGGAACAGAGGGAGCATCGTGCTGCCTGGATGTTATCTCCCATTCAGAGAACATCGGCTCTTCCTGGGAACGTCTCCCCAGAGTTCATTCTAAGTTCAACTTGCTCTGAGACAACATTCTTCTTCACAGGCTTTAAAGAACATTGACCTCTAGATTGTCAGCATTATCTTAAAAAGCAAAAGATCTTCTGCATTTGTTTCTACTCTTATTCTAGCACCTTGCATATATATTCATCAGCTTGTATTGACTGGTTGCTGGTTAGGCTCTTGCAAAAAGCAGTGCTTTATGTCTTGTGCAGAGCCCAACACCCAGTGGAAGTATATTCTGAAAATATTTTATCCATTAAATTGGTGAGTAGGTTATTGGGCTTTGGTTTAGGTTTGTTTTGTTTGGGGTTTTTGCCTTGTTCTTTGCTCTTCCAGATACTACTGTTGCAGTCATTTTAAAAGAAAGCTTATGCATTAAGTAACAGTACTCTTTCTACTGTTTTGGAGTAATCCCAGGACTTGATGTTTTGTTACCTGGGATATTTTACAAAAGAATATTGTTCTGCAGCAAGTGCTGTTGTGTTACATGAAGTTATTTGGTTACCCAGGTGACACAATTCTCCATTGCAAAATAGACTCCAAAGGCTTATTTTGTGTCTTTAAAATTGTGCTCACAAACCCTGTGTAAAATATGTTTCTTAAAATGTCTTTATTTAGTGTTGAAGATGAAGCTGTGGATAAAGACAGTTTCAGAGACTGCAGCAAGATTGCTTTCTACAGGTATGGAAATAAATGTATCAAATGGATCAAAACATTTCTGACTGTATTTAAAAATTAGTGGTATTAAATTTTTGAAAACTGGATAGACTTTCTGAGAGCCAATTAATGAAATTTAATGATTAAGGAATTCATCAGATAGGCTCACCTTTTATACTTACTACTATATGGTTAAAAGTTTTGATAAATGTATTGTATTATAAATACCAAACTGTTTTTAAACTAATTATTGAATTTCGTATCTTTGAATAGATAATAGTTTTGCACGGTTCAAAATAATATAAAGAGAAATATATCTTATTACCTTCAATCCTATTCCTTGTCTCTATAAGGAACCAGATTTATTAAATTATTTATTCTGCTACCATTTCTTTTTGTAAATACATATATTTTTATATCACCCCCTTTCATATACCAAATAGCTTTTTGTATACACTGTTCTATTCCTGAAGGGTTTTTTTAATGTTTTATTTTTTTTTCTGAAGAGCATTGCACATGAGTAAAAGTTTGTTCCATTTTTATAGCTATTGCATGGACGTACTATAATTTATTCTGTTTGTCTCCTCTGGCTAAATCCTTGGGTTGTTTTTATTTTTCATTATTTATTTATTTATTTATTTGGTACCAGGGATCGAACTCTGGCACTTGCAGGGCAGGCAGCAGAATCACTAAGCTAAATCCCTGGCCCCCTTGGGTTGTTTTTAATCTTCTGCTATAACAGCACTGCTGTAATGAACTGTGTATGTCATTTCTTACGCCTACAGGTGTATTTATAAGATAGATTTGGGGGACTGTTATTACTGTATCAGAGACAAAATACATTTGAAACATGTTAACTATGTTGTAAAATTAATATTCACTAATAAAATATTTTTATATAAAAGGAATATGTTCAGTACTATCAGATTTCTGTTAGAGAGATTTAGTATTTTGACTTCTCATCACTGCTCTATGAGATTGCCTGTTTGTCTAGGGGGTCAAATAAGATGTTTTTTAAATCTTCATTTTTTTAGCCAGGCATGGTGGCACATGCCTGTAATCCCAGCATTTGGGAGGCTGAGGCAAGAGGATTGCCACATGTTCAAGGCCCACCTGGGTTACATTGTGAGTTCACAGCCAACCTGAACTGCATACTGAGACCCTGTCTCAAAAAAATATAAATAAATAAAATCTTACTTTTTAAATGTCTACCTTTGTTTGATCCTAAAAGTGAAATAATCTAAAACTATTTCATATATTTTAACTTTCTTATTTACTCCCTGTTCTAGAAAAAGAAAAGCTTATCATTTAATTTAGAACAGATACCTTAGGAAAAGTTTACAATGCATGGTCACCTTGTTAAACCACTAGATTATATTGGACTTCCACTATAGAATCTATTGAGTTACTATTAAAGGGTCCATTTCATGAAAAGAGGGAAGAAGATTAACAAGCTCATAAGTGTCATCTTTGAAAACTACCTCATCTTCTCGTAAAGGAGAAAGGTTCTTATCCTTGAGCAATGTTACATTGAATTTTCATTAGTATTCCTATTAATACTAATTTTATTAGCACTCTAATAATGTAGTACTTGTATAATGTATAATCTATGCCCTGTTCATGTTTGTCATAGTGAATTTTAATGACTCCTACATAATAATAGTCTAGTGGATGCTGCTGACAGTCACAAGTAGTCCTTACACATGTGTATACTCCATATCTACAGGCGTCAGAAACAACAGCTTTCCAAGAATTCCACCTATCGGGCATTATTAGACTCAGTCACAATAGGCAGAGAGAGCACCACTTTCCAAATCATCAATGAAGCAACTAAGGTGAGGTAGAAGTATCTTCTGTAGAGAGTAATTTGTTTCTATATTAATTTGAATTGAATGATGTAAATTTAATAGCTAATTAAAACTGTGTATGCCTCAATACAAATTCTGTTAGAGAAATGTCATCTTTTTTTATACCTACATAACAGTACTTTATGATAATAATGTGAATATTAACATAGAAATTGCCTGTGTATCAGATGTGTTTCTACTTGATTTACAAATGTTATTTCCTTTTAATTAGCCTTCATAATACACCAAGAAGTACATTGTATTAGACTCAATTGCCAGGTAAGGAAAGTGAAATGTACAAAGTCGCTTGCCAAAGTCACACAGCTAGTAACCAGAATATCCTCCTGTATCTGTCAGACTCCATGCACTTTCACCCCTATTACAACATACAGTTGTACATGCAGCCTGGAGTAAGGAACAGATCAGTAACTGTTCAGACTCACAGTGTGAGTAGCAAAAGAAAGGTAAATGGAGTGTGCAGTAGAAAACCTGAGTTACAATATTCCATCTCCTGAGCTGCTTCACTAGAAGATCATCATAGCTATTGTATACTGAAAGGGTTACCGCAGCATATCTAAGTACTTTTTCTCACCTGTCAGTTCCTTGTACTACTTCAGATGTGCCACAAAGATGGCCCAGTCTTAATAAAGGAAGTGCAGTGGGCTCTGCTAAGAAGCATGACTGTGTGCAATAACCTGACTCTCACTTTCAGATTCTCACCCATCTTCTAAAGGCATTTAAGCATGTGGGGCCCCAGTAATTAACCAGTAATTCTTATAACTGAAATATAGTTAACAGCTATGTGGTCCAGGCCTCCTACCAGTTTAGACAAAAACTCAGCCAACTCACTAACAAGTCCCAGTTCTGAGACCCTAACTTTCACCTGAAAGCTGTGGTTCCTAGCCTATAATGCTATGCTTAGGAATCTCACCAGGGAAGACCTTTAATTTAGAAACTCTCTTTAGGATCACAAGAAGCACTTGGCTCTGGGAAATGCAATGAGCCCACCAGAGACTTTTCAGCAGACTTTAATCCTGCCACCAGATGTCAGGAACCTTCTTGTCTTGTTTTTCTTCCTGTCTCCATGGTGCCTAGCCCCAGAGCATTGTAGTGTTCATGATCAGGACAACAATCTTCAAGCTGGGCTTGGTGGCTCATGCCTATGATCCCAGCACTTGCAAGGCTGAGGCAGGAGGATCACCTGGAGTTCAAGGCCAGCCTGAACTACATAGTGAGACCCTATCTCAAAAAACAAAACAAAAGTCTTCATCAGTCCTTGGTAGTATGTTCAGTTTCCAGAATGGTCCACTGTCATGAAGACACGCTGAAGCAAAGTAAATGAGGCAGAATTATTCTGAATATCAGTTATGAGCCAAAATGAAAATTCTCAACAGAGCTCAGTAGCAGTGCAGTTATAGTAGACTCCTGTGTGCCCTTTCACATGACTGCACACCATTTTTTCTCTTTGGATCCTGACTGTGTGAGAGACAATGCTGTTTAGATCAGGAGGAGCACCAGAGCCCTTCAGAGAGAAATAATTTACTATATGGGAAGACCTACGAGATCTCAATGCAAGATCCCATCTGACTCAGAAATTATTTGGGGTGTCAGCAGTGTAGATCCCAGGATTGAGAACTTTCTGGACCCCTTAGAACGAACCCCATATTCAAATATTGGAATTATCAGAGTTGCATAGAGAATCTGTGTACTCTGTTCTTAAGCAGCTGTGTATTTTGATAGGTCTCCCTGAACTTCTGGGCTACCCTCCATTTTAATATTCTTGTCATGTAGAATTGAAATGACTAATAGGGACTCAAGATTTCATGCCTTCTATTAGTCTAACAGGGACTGTGAAGATCCAGACAATAATCTCTGCATCCATCTCATTGCATAGTAATAGAATATTCCTTAAATATTGTTTCTGGGATGAGTTGGGTGTTTCAAGGGTATTGCACATTAAGATATGGTACCAGTAGTCCAGAGATTTAATGAAAAATATCCACTTCATGAGAATGAAGCCGTTCATTTCAGATTCAGAGAGACAGAACCCAAAGCCTAAAAGGATCATATTCAGCTCACAGCTGCAGTTCTCAAATTGCACTGATGAGGCAGATTCGGATAAACTTAACACTCTTGTTGCCTGCCTGCCCCGTGCCTTTAAAATGCTTAAAACAGTAACTTTGGAGCTGTCAGGATTTGTTATTTTTAAATCTTTCTTTCAAATTCCCTTCCCCCCAGTCTGTCCCTTAATAAATGATCAGTAAACCGAATCAAGCTTCGTTCAACATTAGTTTGCTTGGGCCACCATAACAAAACGCCACAGATGGGGTGGTTTAAACAACAACATTTATTTCTCATAATTCTGAAGGCTAGGAATTCCAAGACCACGGTGCCAGCACATTTGCTGTCTAGTGAGGACCCTATTCCTGGCTTGTAGGTGGCCTCCTGTGTCCTTGTATGGTAGATAGAGACAAAGTAAACTCTGATTTGTTTATATTATAAAGGTGCTAATCCGATCCTAAGGACTCCTCCCACATTACCTCATCCAAGTCTGATCCCTCCCAAAAGGCCCCATCTCTAAAAGCTACCAAATCGAGGGTTAGGGCTTTAACATGCAAATTTTGGAGAACGCAATTCAATCCATAGCAAATGCGATGTTCCTAAAACACAGTAATATTACAGACCAAGCTAAAGTGTTGACCTCTATGCGGTCCTCAGGTCCGGAGATTCAGGCTTGAGGAAATGCTGTAGCAGGTTCGGATGTTTTATTTCTCACACAGAGTCCCAGTATAGTCTTGTACTTACTTCCGATGACAGAATAATCAAGTAGGTATTTGATAAAGAAGCTTCCAGAAAAAAAATCTAAAAACTGATGAGAAAAGTGTTGACTGCTTTTTTCATAACTTTTACCCCCCCACACACTATCAACAAATTTGGGGTGGGGGGGTGGTACCAGGGATCAAACTCAGGACCTTGTGCTTGCAAGGCACGTGCTGGAACCACTGAGCTAAATTCCCAGCCCCTTTTTTTTTTTTTTTTGAGACAAGATCTCGCTATATAGTTCAGGTTGGGCTTGAACTCAATATGTAGCCCAGGCTGGCCTCAAACTCCCAGTAATCCTCCTGCCTCAGCCTGCAAGTGCTGGGGTTACAGGCATGCACCACCACACTGGCTATTTTAAATTTTCTACCTTAGGTGAAAATTTAACCTGGATTGAGAAACAGAAGATCTTGCTTTAGTACAGAGAAATGTCTGCTGTCTCCTGAGTTCAACCAGAAAGCACTGCTAGCCAGGCTGTCAGGAGCAGTCTTTTGTCTTCAGTCTACTTTATGTTGCTGATTTTGATGCTTTCTCGTGATAGAGATGACCACTTCAGCAACATAATTACTTTATTCTGTAGGCTGCTTTCAAGGTTTCACCAGAGACAGCAGTTCTAGCTACCTCCTTAAGAATGCAAGGGTATCTCTGAGCACTTCTATGAAATAATTCCTTTCACCTGCCTCTAAGCAGGATAGAAATGAGACTTTCCCCAACCCATCATCTCCTCAGTAGATGAAGCACTACTATACATTTTTAGCAAGTACATTTTCTGCTGAAATTTCAGAAGCACACCTGGACAGGCTAATTGTCTTGGGGAACAGGCTAATACCCAGCATAAGGTCACTAGGATTCTCCACAGAGAATTTACTTAAACCAACTGGACACAACTGTGGAAGGGGCAGTTAGTCTCCTACAACAAATTAATGAACTCTGAGTCCTGAGAGGTCTTCAGCAGCAGCTGGGGGAGGTGGTCACTTACTCTTCCAGGGCTTTAGGTTAACTGTTTTAGTATCATAATGTAGAGACCTAGTGCCAGAGGAAAAGTAAGATCTGCCCATCAAGGAGGAGTTGATGGAGTCATAATTTCCCTTCTTAACATCCATTTAAATAGATGTTCTAAGATTGTTGTGTTAACTCAGTTATGGTCTCTGCTGGTTGTGACTCCCAGGTCTGGGTGAAAAGAAAGTTGTTTTAAAATAATAATAATAATGGTTTTTTGAGACAGAGTCTCACTATGTAGCTGAGGCTGGCCTGGAACTTACGGCAATCCTCCTGCCTCAGCCTCCTGAGTGCTGGGATTATAGGGATGTGCCACTACACCTGGCTAATATAATTATTTTCAATCTTCTGCTTGAATATATAAACAAAACTGTCTCTACCACCATGATTTTTACAAAGTATCTCATATTTTTGCCCACTTGACCATATAAAAACTATAGACTTACAGATGACAAGCTACCAGATTTTAATTGTCTCCATTGAGTGAGAGAAGTACAAGAGATACTAAGAGAGAATTTATACTCTATTTCCTAGACCATGTATGTAAGATGTTTTGGAGTAAAGGAATACAAAAAACCCAGTAGCACTTAAATGATTAAAAAGAACCTCCACGCCGGGGATTTAGGTCAATGGTTCCGCCGCCTGCCTTGCCAAGTGCAAGGTCCCAAGTTCAATCCCCGGTACCAAAATACCCTCCAAAATATATTCCTTTCTCTGAGGATTTGTCTTAGCTTCTCTTAGTACATAGATATTTACAAATCTTAAATACTATTAGGGAGCAAAACCTTGCTATCTCACCTCATTTAAGATGGCCTCATTTAAAATTTGTACATACATGTTTGTTCACTTGTTTTACATAAATACATCTGTTTACATTTCAGTGGAACTGCTGCTACTATCTAAGAACTAATACTAAGTTCTCAATTTTATTTATTTTTATTTTGTTGTTGTTATATTCGTATTTATTGGAAGTTGTGGTCATAGTGCTGGGCATTGAACCCTGGGCTTCCTGAAGACTAAGCCTGCCCGAAGTCTACTACAGAGGCACTGAGTTACACTACACTCCAACTCCTATGGTAACTGTTTATTAGAGGGAAAGAGACAGGAAAATCAGCAAAGGGAAAGGGCAGGCAGGGAGAGGTTCACAGGAAACCAGGCACCACCATCCA